GGGGAAGGGAAGGATTGGGTCTACGGTAATCTCACTCACACGGCAAAACACAACGCAGTAATTGTTTCACGCCGGTTTTGAGTGAGGCCGTGGTAACATTCCGGTCGAGCCGATCCATTCGTGCCGAAGCATGGCTCTCCCACACTTGTGCATATTTTTAAACAAACATTAGGTACCTATACTGATTTTTAAAGCAAAAATCCGAACTGTCTCAAACTGCTGAACCAAAGTGACGGTACAATGACAGTTCGGCTCGTCTATTTATGATTTTAAAAAGCCTATGAAGCCTACTGACTGTCTTAACGATAATAGCTTATTGTATGGTACTCTATGAGAGCCAGGAAACAATAAGATAGCTGTGCGTCTGACAGACTGACCTCCGTTAGGGCACGCAGTCGGGTAATAGTGCGCTGTTATGTTATGTGCCTAGTCAGTTGGACTAATTGAGTTCGGCCATCTTGCTTCACTGAACTAGTGCAAATATGTTTATAAGCGTGATAAATGGTTATCATTTAACGTTATTGTAATTTCACATCGATATTTCTTGAGGCTGCATTCGCGCCAAAACATGGCTTTCCTACACTTAATACAAGCAATATAAACAATACAATGCAGGTAAAAATACAAACAAACATACTTACATACAAGTGTGGGATTACCATACCTACTTCAATACGAATGGACCGGAGTCATACCACGGCTACATAGAATAGTGACGTGGAATAAAGTCTGCGTTGTGTTTCGGTTTATGAATGAGGTTACGGGAAGACCAATGCTTCCTCCCTCTCCTTCTAAATTTCCAAACCACTATAAAAATAAATCTGTAGTCAAGTTTCGAAGAACTTCAGAAAAGAACGACGGCTAAACGAAGCATGTTGCCTCAGGATAAAGTGTGGGAGAGCCATGCTGCGGCAAGAATGGGTTTTCTTGACCGCGTGAAACAACCACAGTGTTGTGTTTCGCTGTGTGAGTGAGGTTTGCGGAGGCCCGATCTTTCCCCTCCCCCAATCCAATAAACCTCCAAATTCCTAATCCCCAAAAGGTCTGCAAAGCACTTCTAACTCCTCTGTTGTTGCGGGTAATATGTATGCTAGTATGCACCTATCACTAAAAAGAAATGGATGTTCTACCGCTCGCGCGACACTGCAACACAGGCACGAATCGGTCCGCCTCCAGTTTTAGAATCAGAACCGCTAGTGAGTGGAATTCTTTGTCAGAGTCTGTGTTCCCTGAAGAGTATATGTAACCTGGTTTTCAAGGCCCGAGTGAATAGGTTCGGGTAGACATGCTCCATCGTAGGACGTATCTTCGCTTACCACCATGCGTGATAGTGGCCAAATGACATCCCATTATTAAACAATAATTAAATGCTTTTAACTCATCTTTTATTCTGCCCAAATCCAAAATATTGTATCCAAGCCATTTTGCATCTAATAGACCACCAAAGCCGGGGCCCTATAGGGCTGATGTTCAGCCGAGGTTGCGGGTTAAGCGCAATAACTGCAATAAGTCACCGCAGCATCGGCCCAGAGCAAGAGAAGGAACGGGGGCGTTTCAAGTCAGTAAGAGTCTGAGACTCTTACTGACTTGAAACGCCCCCGCCTAACCCTGGGTAGGGAGGGGTCATGTGATGATTTTCCCCTGACAAAGAAAGGCATTTTGGATTTGTACTGATTTTCATAACCTGATATATGTCAGTGGAGCATAGTATCTGAAATGTTTTGTTACTACCCAGAAATAACATATACATTTTGGTTGGACAACATGATACGCTTAACAAATCAATGTTGTCTGTTTTTAGTTTTCCGAGTGACTGAACAGCGCCCTTATAACGGGTCCAATTGAGTTTATAAGCACCACTTGAATGCAACCGTTCGAATTCGTTCGGTTTTAAAATTGAACCTGGAGTGTTTATGGTAGCTAGACTGAGTTGTTGACGAAATAAAATCAACTTTAATCTTCATGCAACTGTTTTGTTTATAAAGCAGGTAATTTTATGATTGATTTTCGAACAAAAGAAGTCTTCGTAATCAATGTAGGGCAAGATAATAATTGTTTTAGGGGGTAATCTTTGAAACCGCTGGCCGGATTTCCAAAATTCTTTCACTGATAGATAGCTACAATTCTCCTGAGTGCTATAGGCTATAAAACATCACGCTACGATCAAATGAAGCCGAGCAGCGGGTGAAACCGCGCGAGATTAGCTAGTACCGTATAAAATAATGCCTAAACGAATGCAAATGAAGAGGGTGACATACAATATACGTAATTAAAATCTAATATGGAATAGTGGACAGTCTCGTGTTTGTTTTCATAACACTCCAGACAGACAGACAGACACGCATAATTGAACTCTATTCATCAATCGGACAGTCATGTTATGCGTTTGTAATATTAATTATGTTTCATCCCTTTTTGTATGCTGCAATTTGCATCTGCATAATCGTGTTAAGATGTGTATAAATGTAGAAGAGCATGAGGTTACTGGAGCTGTATGTGAAACTGATTTAAAAAGAGTAACTAACCATGGAGTTTCTTGCTCGTTCTTCTCCATAGGAATCTACACTTCGGAACAAGCAAATAGCTTCACTAAGAGGACTGTCCGACAGACTGACACTATATCTTCAAAAGTGCCTGTAAGGATCTAATTGGAATAAATGATTTTTGACTTTTTGAGCCCCAAACCTCCCCTCTCGCCCTCCCAAAAGGCCGGCAGCGAACTCGAAACTGGTCCATGGCACTAATTGCTTATCTTCATAATTATGATAGGTCTGCTCAATTACCGGTCCCATAAAATAATACTATAATTCCATAAAACAATTTGGAAAAGACCGCCTCTGACCAGCTCTTCATCACCAACATAACACTTATCACTTCACATCATCAGCCTATAAGACCTAACGTTTGGACCAATAAGGCTTTCTTTCTTTCTTTCACACATAAGGTAGAATTTCAATTACTACGCTTATTTGAATCGAATTGGCGATTTCAATCTTTAAATTAGGCCAGACTACCTTGTAATGTTTACCTTCAGTGATATCTAAGTAAAGTTAAAAAAATACTTACTTAATACGGTAGTAACATACGGTAGTTTCCCACTAGCCAAGTGTGGGAGAGCCATGCTTCGGCACGAATGGGTCGGCTCGACCGGAGTGATACCACGGCCTCACAGAAAACCGGCGTGAAATAACCACTGCGTTGTGTTTCGCTGTGTGAGTGAAGTTACCGGAGGCCTAATCCTTCCCCTTCCCCAATCCCTCCTCAATTCCTAAATCTCAAAATCCCTAATCCCTAAAAGGTCGGGAACGCACTCGTAACTCCTCCGTTGCGAGTGTCCATGGGCGGCGCTGATTGCTTACCATCAGGTAATCCGTCTGCTCGTTTGCCGATCTATTTCATAAAAAAAACCAAATTCAATACTTTAATTTTAATGTCAAAAACTACTACTAAACGAAACTTTCTATGAAATTTGTATGAAATACTGGGTGACGTCATAGTATTTTTACGTCAAATAGCTTACTCATGTCTTAAAAATTTGCTAAAAAATATCGACAATTTACTGTATCGACCGATCGATCGATGAATGAAAGTATAGTTATTTTTCAATATTTTATTGTATTGAAACGTCGAATCAATTTATTTTTGACTTAGGAAACTACCCTATTATGTGCAACTTTGAAAAAGAGTTTTCCGGTTATACAAAATACCGCTTATATCTTTCAAATATCTATAAATACTTTGAAACCAAAACACGTAAGTAAACAAAGTATATTTGCCATTGAATGTTATACCCCTGCGACCCCCACAAAGATTTGTCCTTCACCCCTACTCGATGCAGCGTCCCTAATCATTCCGTTTTCCCGGCAGCTAATTTTGCCGTCGAGGGGTTAAGAAGAGGGTTCATTTACACAGGTTATGAATACATCTATCTTTTTATTCTTTGTTGATTTCTCTTCAACTGATTTTGTTTTTTTAAGAAGTGTGACTAATAAGACAGCTCTTAATCCTTTCCAATTATTGGGTTTGTTTTTCTTTTTGTAATCGCTAAATCACGTGATTATCGCTATAGTGATAGGTGAAGTGCCCTCATTAGAAATATAAAGCGCATTGTAATTTTTTAGATGATTAAGTCTTCTGCAAAATATTTTGAAAATAGAATCCGTTTTTTACAATATCAATAATTAGAAAAGTTTAATCCAATTACATAGTTCAATACTTCAACAAAGTTCAGACTACCAGAACACCTAAACCTTCGCAGTTTGTACACAATGTACTTTAACTCCAAATACGTAAGATACTTGTGAACAAATAATTAAATTTACGTTGACATCCGGCTGCAGCCGGTATGTGTAGGTAAAGTTTAGGTCAAAACTCACTCTCCGAGGCGCCATACTTCGATAACCCACGAACACTTGGACAAACTTAGTTCTACAACAAAAGTTTGCTTGCCATGTTACCATAGCAACGGCAGACAATCGGGACACAACCTGTTGCCCATTATATAACCTCCAAATTGCCTCAGTTGGTGTGAGAACCCCGGGTAACCATGTTGATGAAATAAATATTTCCCTTAAGGGATTCCCGCCATTTTAGCTGGATTACACCGAATCCAAAATCGGGAATGGCGAATTGCCCGTTTTATTATGCACCCTTCGAACACCGAAATTGCAATTCTGTTATACACTCCTAGAGCTCTTCATTTAGTGGTTGGTTAGCGTTTTATTGCTATGTATGTATTATGTGCCCGGCTGCGTTACGAATTATAATGCTTTGATTTGGGTAAATAGGCTCTTAAAGTAGTTGGGTTATAACGTGTATTAAAATAGGCGAAAGAAAATGCAATTTCATTTTATTCGACCGCCACGAGCGCGTCAAATATTCAGTACCTAATGTTGACAAGATAGAAGGATTTTTCGCTTAATACCCACAGAAAGAATATTTTATGATTCCGCTATCATATTCTATCATTATGATTTCATTTTCAATTCATATTGTTTCAGCGTTCGGCCTAATAAATATGGAACACTGCATATCTTCAGAAGACAATACAATTATTGAACAAAACAAGTTTGTTAACGACTGTCCTGATTGTTCGGAATTACCTCAAGACCCGGTATGTGGCATTCGACCAGATGGTAAAGGGTTCAGAGTCAGAACATTCCAGAGCGAATGCGAACTTGAAAAATATAATTGTGAGGTCAAAGAAAATTTTACAATCACTGATTACTTTATTTGTTCAAACAATCCGAACGCAGAAGGAAAAAACGAAGAACATAAAAAAGATAAACTAGAAATCATGCTTGAAACAAATGAAGATTCTGTTAATGAAACAAATATTGATCGAGAACTTCCAACGATGCTTAAAGAAGATGATGACAATAATACCAATGCATTTAAAAATGTAGTGATAGTTCGTGGATCTGTGTTAAATGGTCGAAACATCAATAAGAGTATTGCAAATTTCTTTAAATCTACTCTTAATCAAGGTATACCAATAAGAAGCGTGCTGCCGGGTTACAACGAGAGCACAAGGAAGAGGATGATAAAGATCTTTGGTCCTGTCAAATTGTACGAACCTCGGGTCGTAAAACCAAAGATTGTCCACGAAGATTACTATCATCAGCCAACATTGTCGTCCTGCTTTCATAAATGTCCAACGGTTAGTGGAGCTGTGAGGTTGCTGTGACCTCCAACACCCGTTACTATAACGCTATGGTAATGGGCGCTGGTACGTTGCGATATACTAAAACTGCGACAGGCTACCGAGAAAAGTGTAGTATAAGACAAGTATGGGAGAGTCAAGCTTCGGCATGAAATCAGCATTGGGTTTCGCCTTGTGAGTGAGGTTATCGGAGGCCCAATCCCTTCCCTCCCCCAATCCCTAAATCTCCAAATCCCAAATCCGTCGGCAACGCAGTCGTAACTCTTCTGTTGTTGCGGGTGTCCATGGGCGGCGCTGATTGCTTACCATAAGTTTATCCGTCTGCTTGATTGCCGACTTATCACATAAAATAAGGCGAGATTGCGGTGCTAGCCTAATTATGACCGTGACCCTGGCCTGGAACAGGAGAAGGAAAAATAAGTAGTTTAGCAATTTTCTAAGAAAAACACTTTTTTGACCTTATCTAAGACGTCCTAACAGAAACATCTATATCATATTACTAGAAAGTCGCTATCTGTACTGTAAACATTCCCTTAAGCGGATGTCCATGGGTGGTGCCGATTACTCGCCATCAAGTTTTTATCAGCTCGTTTGAAGCATATAGGTACAATTATTTAAAAAAAAACATCAAGAAACTTCCCTTGTCTTAGTCTATAGACTTTGTTTCATTCTGACCAGTGCCGTGTGCGCAAAGCCCTTTAAAAACAGCAAACCTGTCGACAGCACTCGACGTTTTGTTTTTGCTTCAGAATGTAGGTATAAATCCAATCCGGCAAATGACGAGGCCGGTGCACGGTGAAATTAAACGCTGCAGGCATGTGTCAATTTCGTGTTCCATGTTCAAAAGGCGTTTGGGGATTGAAGGGGTTTACGTCAAACTACACCATATGATAAAGCCTAATAAAGCTATTCTATAGTAGCCGATTAAATGATTTTTGTAAATTCATTTCGTCCTCAAAAGAGGTTTGTTGTCATTTTTTTTCCTCCTTGAGAATTACAGTTTAACTTCGTATCCTTATTAACCTATTTGGTTTCACGTACTATTTAACCATCATCAAAACTAATATCAAAATATTTTTTTGTGATCGGACGATAAATGATGAGACGGATTATCTGGTGGTAAGCAATCAGCGTCGCCCATGGACACCCACAAAAACGGAACGAAGGAGTTACGAGTACGTTTCCGACCGAATGATTAGGGTTTTGGAGATTTGAGGATTGGGAGAGGGGAAGTATGGGATCTCTAGTAGGTTACTGGAGGCCAAATCCTTCCCCTCCGCTAACTCCAATTCAAATCCCCTATCCTTAAATCCCTAACAACCCACATACAAAAAGCTGGCAACGTACTCTTAACTCCTTTGGTGTTACGAGTGGTCATGGGCGGCGCCGATTGCTTACCATCAGGGACGTAAACTTGTTTGCCACCCCACTCCATAAAAGAAAATACCTATTTCTTTTAATAGACTTATTGCCTCTTCTCCTGGACCCTAAAACATGTCACAAATACCAAACTCATGCATAAAGCTATGCGCCAGTAAGCAACTATAAATCCACGCGATGCTCCTGATTGTCATTTATACAAGTATTGTACTTGAACCTTGACAATAGAGCGAGTTATGTGGAGTTTAATCATCGTTCCTTTGTGAGGTAGAACCGCGATGAGTCGAGTTGCGTTATAATTAATGTCTGGCCACCGCGGTCTGACTGACAATGATGTTGATGATCGAATTGCAATTAATTTTCCCGACACCACGTTCACTGGCGAGCGGGCAGGTGTTGCGTCTATGTATGTATGTATTTATAAAACAAAATCTGCTCTAGGTCCATTTTCCTTTTTCTTTTTGATGAGATACTGATGATGAGATTACCTGATGATAAGCAATCGGTGCCGCACCACCAATGAAGTGTTGAGAGCGTTGCTGGCCTTTTAGGTATAAGGGTTTTGTATTTAAGGGTCAGGAAGGGATGGGCGTAGGGGGAGGTATGGGCCTTCGGTAACCTCACTCACACGGTGAAATACACCGCTGTGGTTGTTTCACGCCGGTTTTCTGTGAGGCCGTGGTATCACACCGGTCGAGCCGACCCAGCTTATTTTGAAATCACTAATTAATGATTATTTTGCCCACGTACAGAAATGCCCGGATATCTACAATCCAGTGTGTGCGAGACATGGGTTGCAGTCCCGACAGCCATCCGTCATGTTCCTGAACCACTGCTACATGGACGTTGCTCAGTGTAAAGTGTTCTGGGAAGACAAGACTGAGACTGCTCGGTCCTCAGGTATAAACTTTTCTAACTTTGTCTAGCGCATTCGATCATAAGTTCACACGATAGTGCCAATATATACTAAATATACTTAAAGAACATTATATTTTCTTTGCTAACAATCATAGACCGATAGACACTTGTAACTTCATCATTATCATTAGCTAAACCCTTGGTCATCACGTCATCAGCTTTTAAGTGCCTGCTGCTAAGCAAAAGCCTCTTTTCTCACGGAGAAGCATTAACCAAACCACATCATCAAAGTGGATTGGCGATTTTGAACTTTGGAAATTCGAATAACAATAACATATAAAATGTCCAGATTTCCTCACTTTGTTTTACTTCATCGTTTGTCAAATATACTTAGGAGTTTGATGTCATATTTAAGAAGTACATAGGTATGGAAAAAGTCACATATTTATACTTGTCAGTTTTTTTTCACTATTTCCCTTTTGCATAACACCGACGGATCCTATAAGGGCTGATGTTCAGTCGGGGTTGCGGGGTAAGAGGAATAAGGCATTGCGGCCCCGACCTAAAGCAGGAGAATGAATGGGGGAGGTTAGTCAGTAAGAGTCTCATACTCCCTCTCGCTTTACCCTGGACGAGAGAAGTTATTAAATGATTTTCCGGTCAGAAAAAAACCCTCTGGCATAAGAAACGGCGGCCTTAGTCTCCGGGTCAACGCGACATTCTTGGTTGTGTCAGTCCAATATGACCTACATATTTATAAGTATACATAGGTTATACATATCTTATATATATTTCTTACATTTGTGTCGGCCAAAAATTGCGATGTAGGACCAAGATCATTGATTAATTCCGCCAGTAACTGAGCCCTCGTGGTGTGACGTCACCGACGCTGGTAACGGAGTCTGACGGATATGTCGACATGCAATCCTAGTACCCGATGTAGATGTATGTAAGCTATTATCAGACAACTTTGATGGATAACCGAACTAACGTGAACTAACTAGCGTCGGTTTCTCTAACGTCAGGTGTACGTATGCAGATAGAAAATTAATATTGGCTATGAATATGAATATTGTGACTTTCCGTCAAGTACCCCTAAAAATATAAACAGAGGTATCCCAACATTTAAAAATACTGAGGAGTCTTCCTGGACTCTACAGAATAGCGGAGCTCAGCCCCTTCCCTATTTCCCTAGAAAGGGTAAGCCGAATATCATCCCTTCCTTGATTTAGGTAAACGAAAATTTTATTTAGCCTAGGGTCGGCTAGAAACAGTGACAATATTTTAACTGTCATACAAAAATCTCTCGTCGCGAGAAAGACTCGTCCGTTTATAGTAGACAACCTTCAAATCTTCCAGAAACGAGCAACCTCCTTAAAAGTCCGGCAACGCGCCTGTGAGTCCTCTGGTGCCGCGGGGTCCACGGGTGGTGCCGATTGCTTACTATCAGGTTATCCGTCTGCTTTCCGACATATCTCATAAAAAATCTAGTCTATTAGCCTTTGTTGGTTTTTATTGAAAAAAAGTCTCAAATCAATTGTGATGTTGACAAAAACTCAACTTTAGACCTGTTTAATAAAGTATTTAATCGGAATCTTGTTAATTAACTGGTTGCATTGCTTGACATTGCACAAACAAAAGTAAAAACATTATCACGAACACAGGTTTTCAACTTTGAATGGAGCTGTCGAACACTCGTACTGCTTGTGGCTATAAAACATTTTTCATCGAATATGCATCGCGCAAAGGGGTGCAGTCATTCGCAATTTGTATTTGAGAGTTTAGAAACAAATGGACAGTTTTAACTTTTACATGTGTAATCCTTTTTCTGTTAACTCAACAAAACTTTTAATGTTGCCATCGACGTGGATTTAAAAAATCTCTTTTATAACGCAGTTAGCAACGAGGTGGAAACGCTTCCAAAGCGGCCATGTTTTTATTTTTAACCTCATCGCCGTCTAATTAGCGATATTTTTCTTATACTCTTAAGCCACTTAACGTAAGACCTTTAAGCGTGGAGAACTGATTTTCTTTCGAGAAATAAGATGTTATTTTTCAATATGTTTTTAGAATAAGATGCTTAATTGCTACACGTGTAAGCAGCTCACAAAATTCAAAAACATCTTTTGTTTTTTTGACGGGTAGGCAAAAATAAGCACCTGAAGGACGCCCTCGACATCATACAAGTTTCAAGTGTATTGACGGTCTTTTGTGAGTTGTAAGGGATTTTAGATATATAGAGATATGGAAGAGATAGAAGAGGTTTGAGATATAGATAATGAGATATAGATAGATGGAAGGGAATGGATTGGGCCTCCGGGCCTCCGGTAATGTAACTCGCTCAGCCAAACACAACGCAAAGCATAGCTCACGCCCACACCAGCTTTCTGTGAGTAACCAACTAACCTGAACCCAGGAATAAATTGTCAATTTTCTTCTTAAGTGCTTAAACTCTTCTAATTTTATTAAGGTTTACTTATTATTAAACGGTTTTATTTAGCTCACCCCGTTTGTTTTATTCTTTCTTGGGTCAAATTTAGTAATTCAAATTTCACCCTCTTCCTGTCAACCGATTAATCTGAAATTTTGTATACACTTTTGCTTTTGGTGACAATACAATTATGTGTAATCATAACAATTATAAATCCAAAATGGCGGCCGCTACAAAATGGCGGATAACGTAGGTTTTATCAATCCCATCAATATGGGTATCAAATGAAAGAGCTCAACGAGCAGAATACAATATAGCTACTTTAAACAATTTAAATCTAAGATGGCGGCCGCTACAAAATGGCGGATAACGCAGGTTTTATCAATCCCATCAATATGGGTATCAAATGAAAGTGCTCACCGAGTAAAATACAATGTACTATAAAAAATTAAAATCCAAGATGGCGGCCGCTACAAAATGGCGGGTAACGTGGGTTTTATCAATCCCATCAATATGAGTATCAAATGAAAGGGCTCAACGAGCAGAATACAATATAGCTACTATAAACAATTTAAATCCAAGATGGCGGCCGCTACAAAATGGCGGATAACGTAGGTTTTATCAATCCCATCAATATGGGTATCAAATGAAAGTGCACAACAAGTAGAATAAAATGCACTGGGATGCTACATTATTTAGATTGGCAAAGGTACATAAGTCGTTCATGGGATTCTGTGTTAAATGTTATAACAAAATCCCAGGCGAAATACAACAATTAAATGAAAGAAATTTTAAATTATGTGTAAAGAAAACTTTATGTAGAAAAGCATACTACACACTGAATGATTACATTGTAGATAAAGATGCTTGGAGACATGCTGGTCCTGCTCCACAGGATAGCAAACGTACACCAAAATAAATAACGTTCCAATGGATTTTGCTTGAACGGGACTTCTTCATTTTAGTGAAATTGCATTATATTGTATAACTATAACTTGATAAATTTGTAAATGTGAGTGCCCTGTAACCTATTATAATTGGGTAGACTAGCAGAATGTCGGTCCTTATAACAGCTTGGAGTTGTCATGCTCACTGAAAGGTCACACTGGCGGTGGCATGGGCACTGGATCGCTTAATTCCCTATAATATGGTTGAGTTGGGCGATGCTGGTGTACGTGTCATGCTCGTGAACGAGCGCCGTCAGTTGGGACTGGTCAGCTCCAGACTGTCTATTGTCCTTAAGGTTACTTTATTTTTATATTTGAATAAATATTAGTGTTACACTGTTCTCACATAATTGAACCAACTGTTTGTAAAAGGAATCTGTATGTGAAACTGATTTAAAAAGAGTAACCATGGAGTTTCTTGCTCGTTCTTCTCCATCGGAATCTACACTTTGGAACGAGCAAATAGCTTCACTAAGAGGACTGACCGACAGACTGACACTATTTTTTTATTTTATATTTTGTTTGACGTTCAAAAGTGCCTGTAAAGGTCTAATTGGAATAAATGATTTTTGACTTTTTGACTTGACTTTGACACTATAAAAAATTAAAATCCAAGATGGCGGCCGCTACAAAATGGCGGATAACGTGGGTTTTATCAATCTAATCAATATGGGTATCAAATGAAAGGGCTCAACAATGCGAATACAATTTACTATGCAAAATTGAAATTTAAGATGGCTGCCGCTACCAAATGGCTGATAACAATTTTTTATCAATCCCATAAATATGGGTATCAAATAAAAGGGCTTGACAAGAAGAATACAGTGCACTATACAACCTCAATATTAAAGATGGGCGCAGCCACTAAATGGCGTATAATAATAAGATTTAAAATTAGAAATTGAATCTGTAATTTTGGTATAATTTATTTATATTTAAGTTTGGGAGAGCCATGCTTCGGCACGGATGGGTCGGCTCGACCGGAGTTATACCACGGCCTCACAGAAAACCGGCGTGAAACAACCACAACGTTGTGTTTCGCCGTGTGAGTGAGGTTACCGGAGGCCCAATCCCTTCCCAATCCCTAAAAGGTCGGCAACGCATCTGTAACTCCTTCTTTGTTGCGGGTGTCCTTGGGCGACGCTGATTGCTTACCATCAGGTAATCCGTATGCTCGTTTGCCGTCCTATCACATAAAAAAAGGTATCTGATTAATCCAGCCTGAATCCACCACCCACGTCTCAAGACTTTGTATCGTGTTGAGGACTGTGTGGCGTTAGGGTGGCTAAAAATGATACGTTGTTAGCGGTATACCACCCAAGTTAAAAGTTAAAACGCGCTGAGAACTGTATGGCATTAGGGTGGATAAAAATGATATGTCGTTACCGTTTTCCCCTCAAGACTCAGGCACATCTTGTTGTACATAGCCTTGCCCCTTTATTGGACTTCTGGGGTAGACAATTTTAATATCCATTACTCATGGCAACAAACTGGTAAAAAAAATGAAAAAAATACAAACACAAATCTTAGTGTGGGAGAGCCATGCTTCGGCACGAATGGGTCGGCTCGACCGGAGTGATACCACGGCCTCACAGAAAACCGGCGTGAAATAACCACTGCGTTGTGTTTCGCCGTGTGAGTGAGGTTACCGGAGGCCCAATCCTTCCCCTTTCCCAATCCCTCCTCAATCCCTAAATCTCCAAATCCCTAATCTCTTAAAGGTCGGTAACGCACTCGTAACTCCTCCGTTGCGAGTGTCCATGGGCGGCGTTGATTGCTTACCATCAGGTAATCCGTCTGCTCGTTTGCCGACCTATTACATATAAAAAAAAAAAATAGTAACGTCCATTCTCTGTAAGACAATGGAACGTGCAAGCCAACGTGGGAGCCAATGACATCTTAAGTGACCGACAATACGAGTGATGAGAGGTGATCCTCTAGCGTATGCCATCCACATCTGGAGCGAGGCCATCGAGAAACACGGGGAAGCGCTTGCCGTCTCCCTTGACATCTCGAAGGCTTTCGATATGATATGGCACGAAAGCCTTATTAGTAAGATTCCCTCATTCGGTTTACCTACTGGATTGTGTGTTTGGATCGCAAACTTTCTGAGGGACCGGTCCATCCGTGTGGTCATCAATGGTTGTTCGTCGAGTCAAATGACCATCAATGCTGGGGTCCCTCAGGGGTCAGTGCTCTCGGCAACATTGTTTTTGTTGCACATACATGACCTGCTTAAGCCCGGTCTTTTTGGGTATGCAGACGACAGCACTGTTGCTGAGAGCTACACATCCGGCGCACAAGCCAGTGGGTCACAGATCCAGTCTCTTCGAGAGGCTATGGTTGGGCACTTGATTATTGGGCACTTGATAGATTTGAGCTCTTGAACATAGTAAATTATATTTTATATTTTCAAGAACAATTCTACTTCAATTTATTTTGGTTCACTGAAATGAATCTCATAAAAGATTTAAAGGTTTTTCTCAGTAATGTGTTTAATAGTTTAGGCATAGTTTCACCAGTGGACAATACATTATTAAAAACAAGGTCATATCACACAATATTTGGCCAAATAACGGGATCAAATTCAAGACAAAAGGATTTAAGGACTATTCTGTAATCTCTCGTTTTCCGGTGTATGAGTCACAGTGTCTCGCGTAGATCTGCTTTCTATATATCACGGGTTAATATACCATAAACGTAAAACCCTGTTTCTTTAGGAGTCACAATAACGCATGCGTTTGGAACGTTTTCTACTTAGGGAGACATTCCTTACTTTATAAAAAAAGATCCACCTCGAATCATCTTCGTCACCCGCCGAAAGACGTCCACTGATAATTCTGAGCCATTGAAAGACAAGTCGCCACAAGGCCACTTCCAACCATCACTGATGCCTCTTCCAACAAGGACAAGGTATATGAGCATTGATCACCACGCATCCTTTAGCCGGATTGGCGATTTCAAACTTATAATTACTAATCATAAGTCCAGCCTTCTTCACGATGTTTTCCTGCATCGTTTCATCATCGTCAGCCTATAAATGCCCACTGCTGAGCAAAGACCTCTTCTCATACCAAGAAGGTTAGAGCATTAATCACCACGCTTGCTCAATGCGGGTTGGCGATTTCAAACTTATAATTAGAAATCAGCGGTGTCTTAATAATCATAGAAAGTACATATAACTCGGAAAAAGTCACATTGGTACTTGCCAGGTTTCGAATCCACACCCTCACGCATGAGAAGCGGGCTGCTTAACCTACGGGCCACCACGACATTTCTGCTTCATTTGTCAATGGTATAACTATATTTTACTGCTTATAGCATTACTGTCCTATATTAGTATTTGAAAATCCAGTACATCAATATCATAATTACTAAAACTCATTGTAAAGCATAATTTTGAAACATTCGACAACAATGTATAACATCACAAAGACCCTTCAGAAGGATTAGTTGCTGCTTCACAGAATCATGTCTGCGAACCTGACGTATAATAGGTTCGAGGCTCTTCGAGTATCTTCTCATTTTCTGCTGAAGATAATACAATAAACGGAGTGCATATCTACATTGGTAGATAATATGTTCGTACTTTGATTTTACATAAATAAGTTTATGCCTTTGTTTGGTTGGCGTAAATACACTTTTTAGAAAAGTTTTTAGTATTTTTTTTTGTCAGTGGAAAATCATCAAATGATGACTTCTCCCGCCCAGGGTTAGGCGAGAGAGAGTGTCAGACTCTTACTGACTAAAAACCCCCCTGTTCCTTCTCCTGCTCTGGGCCGAGGCAGCAGTGACTCATTGCGCTTAACCCGCAACCCCAGCCTTAACCCGCAACCCAAATTCCATTACGGGCTGATTTTTCAATAGTCAGATACCTAAATGTTATCTGAGGAATAAAATTGTTGCCGTCACTGTCTTACACAGACATTCTGACGCGACAGCATCATAATTATTTCCCATGTAACTTTTATCTAACCATTGAAAAATCAGCCAAATCTCTTCTATTTCATATTTCTATTTATACTTTTCCTATTTCATACTTTTTATTATTATTTATTGGGGAATTTCATTACACACGACAGACATTTAACTTTGATGCCCTATTTTAGTTATGGTTGTGAGTTGACGAAGAAGAAACGGGGTGGTTTTTAGTCAGCAAGAATCTGAAGTCTGGCACTCGCTTCAAATAAAAAAAGGACATTAAGAAAAAAACCATAGTCCATTCTATTGCTTGTATAATCTATGACTGTATCTAAGCTGCGTATGCTAGTATCTTGTTTCCAAGTAAATAAATACCGTCAATAATTAGGTCGTAAAATATAAAATCGTTATAAAAGATAGCATTATTATACCACTTAAAGATTTTTCTCCAAAGCTCTTTATTAAAAAAAATATGATTTGATAAATTTTCCTATTGTTTTCTTAAACGGACGGACGTGAAGTGCTTAAGAGTATTATAAATTAAGCACATACACGTGGAAGTTAAAATTTTTTCCTCGTCTATATTCCTGAGTCTTTAAATTCAAGAGCATCAGTTCTTGACGCGGCTCTGTGATAAGGGTCTCGTTGTTTATTTTTTTATTTATTTAATTATTTATTTTATAGAAGGCTTACAGACTAATACATAGAAAATGATTTTTTAAAGTATAATATTGACAAATTGCTATTTTGACCGGTTTAAGAGATCGGAAACAGGCCGATGGAGATTGATATCTCATTGAAAATAGTGTCTTTCTTTTTACATACTCATCCGGTTAAACCGTAAGTATGTCTGGATTTATTTAATTCGTAGCGTCATTTCTTTTTAACACATTGTAATTAAATGCCTTCATTATATTTTGATATGTAATTGTGTCAGATTTAATTACAACAAAAAAACATTTTTTTTGATTTAACGTTACAAATTGTGTGTGTAAAAGTCTCTGTAGGTGTAATCAGTATTTGTGCGAAGGGTGTTATTATCATAATCTGCCCTTGATTGGGGATAGACTTTAATTTTATTAGTAAAAAATCTTTTAATGTCTTTTCTCACCTAGGGTGAGGCGAGAGGGAGTGTCTAACCCTCCTCCTGCTCTAGGTCGAGGCCACAATCTCGGTTAAACATCGATGTCAGCCAGGGCAAGTTTAGGGTAGGTTAACCCTGTAACGCTACGCGCCGTACGCTCTGACCTGGTTCTGGTCGGGCATCGCGTCGTGGTTTCGATTTCCACCTAAATTTCTCATTGGTATTACTAGTACTTGGAACTTATTCTTACTCACCATAAGACACTTAACTTTCGAAAATATGAAATTTATTGTAATGCAGGTTATAAGTAACCAAAGTCCATAAAGATACAGTTGATATTGTATACTATATCCACTATACAATACGACAGAAGAAAATATTGATAGAAAAGTCCGTCCTTATATTCTTTATAAAACATAACAATGCAATTTGAAGAATAATAAAGTTTCACTCGGTAAAATCAGTACCACTATATACCTACATATACATGTTTATGTATGTATAACAGTGCAAAAAGGCATGCCAGATTTAATTTTGGTGAAGCTCCATCAACCAGGCGTGGGATGGATTAACAGTGGCCAGGGGTGGCTTTTAGCTTTGGATTATACCGAATTGACTGGCCGGCCAAATGGAAGAGTGCGTTAGTGCATATTTGATTACTGGCACCACCGAACATGTTTTACATGGCAGGATTAACGAAAAAATATTGCTGCTTATAGGGAACTGCTATAATTTTTTACGTAGGGCTGATTTTTCAATGTTTACATAAAAGTAACCTCGGGAATAATTATGTCACTGCCGCGTCAGAACGTTGGTAGTAGACAGTGACAGCAACAATTTTAATCCTCAGATAACATTTATCTGACTATACTGAAAAATCAGCCCTTAGAATGTTATAGAAATTTATAAATAGGTATGATGTCATAATAATAGGTACCTTCAGTAAGTTCATCAGGTTTCGATAAATGTTTAAGGTCGGTGCGTAGGGTTAGGCTGTGGATTTTTCGGCGTATCACGTTGAATATCTTCGGGTCTTCCGTAGAAACTGTAGCTTCTGGAGATTGCCCGTGTGTTTTCTGTTTTGTTGCAGTCGAGCTATCATCTACTGAAGGTATATAGGTTGTCTTTTCAATGTTTTATTAAAACAAAATAAATTTATTATATAACAATCAACAAACATATTCACGCTAAGTAACCGCTAAAGTGTAAAAAGGTTGTACCTCATATTGCGGGAAAATTGTGATGTCCCATGTCAATCGATTATTCTTAGCTTAAAAATATCGGCCTTATTACCATGCTGAATGACTGACTCCCTGCATTTTAATAGACTTTAAAAGGCGAGAAAACGTATTTAATGGTTGACTCAGATTGTAATTTTTTACTTTTAAATATCGTTTGTAATTTGTTATCCCCCTTGAAGTGTTTCTTTAAATATTAATTGGAATTGTTTTGATCCGTCACGAAGAGTCTTATTTTTAAAATATTATTTTAAATTTTAAAGTGTCATGGTGGCCCGGGGTTTAATGTACCCGCTTCTCCTGCATTAGGGTGCTAGTTCGAAATCTGAAAAGTACCAATGAGACGTTTTCAGAGTTCTATGTACTTTCTATATTTATGTACACACTAATGGCAAACGGTGCGGGAAGACATCGTGAGAAAACCTAGAATTATAATTATAAACATCAGTCAGTCCGTCCATGTTTTACCTGAGAGGCCTGAGAGAACAGGCCTTAGCAGTGGTCATATTCAAATGACCACTCTGGCGACCTATCATCGTAAGCAATCAAGTTTAATTGCATAACTTATACATATCTATGGTTTATTCATAGCGATAAGTGTGGCCAAAACACTCTTAAACTTATATAAACTTACTTCCAGGCTACATGGCATCCTCATTCGTGTTCTGTCTTGGCGATCTGACCACCCAGGTCCAGTTCATACCGTTCCTCAGAACCTTGCAGTATATGGGAAGAATAAAGAAAAGAAGCAGATACAGATACAGAATCAAGAACTTAAGATATTTAAATCAAAATTATAGGATCATGGGATGATAAAATAAAGAAATTAAAAGAAGTCTAAATCTTTCTGAACCTATTACCTCCTAACTTCTGGTGACAACGGAGATGATGGGTGACCAGTTAAACCGTAACTCAAATAGGAGCATCGATTTCAGCATGTATATTAGGTACACAAAAAATTACAAGAGCAACCATGTGGGAGATTTTTCAATTATTATCCGTCGTTTCAGAGGGAAAATACTACCCAAACCCTGATGATGCAATCAGATCGTGAACTCATTGGATTCAAATAGTAAATAGAGTATACGGTATTCTAAACACTATATAGTATAAAACAAAGTCTATTTCTTTGCCCCTAATCCCTATGTACCTATGCTTAAATATTTAAAGCTACAAAACGGACTTCCGTTGCGTGGTTCTCCCGATTTTTTGCACTCTAAATATGCGTTTTTTAATAGATAGAGTGATTGAAGAGGAACGTTTATACATATGTAAAATAATATCTATTGAACAGTGGAACAGAGTTTAGTATCAGTTTTGCACTCGAGCGACTGGTACGGGTCGCTATTGTACTACATAACGCAGTGAGCACCATTATGCCAGGACCTTACGCTTGTATCCTGTGATATAAACATCTCTTATATCACAGGATAATCTTCTTAATCAAAGGACCTCGATGGATCTTTTGACTAAGTAAACTTATACCTATTATTATTTACTCCATGTTAAAATGAAATATGACTGCAATACAGAGTTATTCTCAAAATTCGTCATCGGGACTGATGATAGTATGACACAAAGACAACTATGACACGGATACTATAGCGGTAGCCGGTTCGAGGAGTGACAGTAATTAATACTGACTCCGTTGATCTGCCTATATCTGTTCAAATTAGGATGGGACGCTATAATGGAACGAACAGATTGTTATTATAAAGCATAGGTATTAATTTAGACATAGCCCTTTGTAAACTAAGCTACTAAGGCTTTAATAGTAGGGGAGGGCGGGGTTCGAAGTTCCGATTTTGGAGTAGGAAGCAATCTTAACGTAATAAATAAATTTAAAGTCTATGAATCCTGCATAAATAGATGTAGAATGTATCCTAGTTTCAAATTATATAGTCCAATTCATTTAAATAATTATATTTTTTAGCGCAGTATCATTTTTCTGTAGCAAGTCGACAAGGAACAACTAGCCCCACGAAGGGGCTGGTTGTTCCTCAGCTGAGGTAAGTTGTTCCGCTTGTCTAATCCAATCATTAATAATATAAGATTAGTTGAAAAATTACAACAGTACAACATTTTAATGTTCCTTACTTATAATAGCACAAAATTTTAAAGTTCAATCAAAATCAACACCACGGCATACAATTTAAAGTATTTATTAAAAAAAAACAGCTTAAGATTAGTAACTGTCTCTAACATTTATCAACTTTGACAAAACGTTTAATTAACAAAAATAGAAAATTCTTAAAATTCATAAAGATAAGGAATTCTTTGGCTGTCATCCATCCAGAGCTATTTCCAGCTCCAATACTTTCTGGAGGACCATCACGGATGAATAGGTCTTTATACTTAAGGCGAGGAAAAACAAACATAGGCGGTACAGTATTTCCAACTGCATTTGCTGCTAATTCAACGGTAACTAAAGTACCTCGCTCAGATCGTTTCTCGTTTTTCGTTTATAGTTTCTCATCCTAAAACAAATAATTAATTTTATTATTTACGTATTTCATTACGGGGCACGTTGTTCCGCGGAACAACTAGCCCCTCGACAGAGGAACTTTGAACCCCAAATCCCGTTTTCAATCTAACCTAGAATTATAATGAAATACCTAGTTTATAAAAAGCTAATAATTATATTAAAAAGATAATAGCCATAGTTTGTCCAACTGATACTAGCAAGAAAGAAATAGCTTAAAAATTTATTGAAATAGACCAAAAAGTTTAAAGACGAAAAAATTTACTTACATGATGTTTTTGGTCACTAACCCATTACCACTCTTACACGCCGACACAGCGTCACTAAAATGACTGACGCAATAGCGGGATGATTTGACTTTTCGCGACGCACTTGACACTTATTGCTACCTCTTTTCGTCATGGAGTTATTTGGATTGGAACAACCTACCCCCGGCACTTTGAACCCCGCCCTCCCTTATTACGTATGTTAATGCTTATAAACTCAACTATCAAATCGAAAAAAAAAGTTAGAGGTTTTATTTGTATTGTGTTGGTATCTTAGTAGATATCTTCTTCTTCTTATATATAAAAATGAATCGCAAAATATGTTGGTAAGCGCATAACTCAACAACGCCTGTACCAATTTTGTTAATTCTTTTTTTTGTTGTGTTTGTTATTATCAGGAGAAGGTTCTTATCAAATAAAATATTAGAAAAGTAGAGGTGAAAATTGGGAAAAAGTGACCCTTTGATAGCGAGATAGTTGGACCCGTGCTAAGCGGGGGTGGGCCGATAGTAATATTGTAAATGTGACAGTTTGTAAGAATGTATGGATGTATGATTTGTTAAGTAGATAAGTGATACCTTAGATGTACACATAGGCGGTTTTTATCAACATACGCGGGCAAAGCCACGGTCCGAAGCTAGTAATGTATATTATTATAACTTCGTTTCTATTCAAGGGGTGTTTCATTTAAATATGATAATTTTAATTTCAATATGTATATACAACTTATCAGGCATTTAACTTTGTATGCACTATGAAAATGCACCCAAGGACAATCACCGGCTAAGACTATTGTAAAATGAGGTAAAAAATTATAAGATTATGGGAATGGCTATACACATGATAAATATGGAAATATCCCTGACCATTATTGAAACAAACGAACAAACAGGCAGGGGGTGACTGGCAAACTCAATTACTGGGCCCCGGAAACGGCCGCTAGCATGTAGCGACACGGAGGCAACATACGTTGAGCTGCTTGGGGAAGGAGAGGCATCCCACGGATATCAGAGCAATCCCAGAATTTACTGAGATACAACCTTTCCCCATCCCTTCCCAATCCTTAAATATCCGAAACCCTTATCCCTAAAAGACCGGCAACGCACTCGTAATGCCTTTGGTGTTGCGGGTGTCCATAGGCGGCGCTGATTGCTTACCACCAAATAATCCGTCTACTCGTTTGCCGACATAATAAACCATATTACTGAACTGATACCATGGCCACACAGACAGCCAGTATAAAATCACACTTGTTTCGACGAGTGAGTGAAGTTACCCGGGCCCAATCCTTCTATTCCCCTAATCAAAAAATCTCCAAATGACAAATCCCTAATCCCCAAAATTTCGGCAAAGCAATCGTAACCGTTTTTGCGAGTGCCCACTTTACTTGAAAAGACGGATGAAGAATACCGCCTATAAAGAAGAAAGGTTAAAGACTTCATCATCCTCTCATCTTCTATATCTATTTACAAATGCTGCACCTCTCAAATCCCTAACCCGAAAAAGCCACGCACGCTAGTTTAATATTATTAAAAAACTCAATTAAATATAAAGAAAGACAAGATATTACTTCAATTTCCATTGAGCATACAATTGAATTGTCCTGTGTGGAGCTGGATAGGCATGTTGTAATATGCGTTTATAGACCTCCTAACTTACAAAACCTAAACGTTTTTAACTCAGTCATGGAACAAGTTTTACAGAAAGCATGTTCGAACAGTAAATTCACAATAGTATGTGGCGATTTTAATATTGATCTCTTAGGAAACAATCTTAATTGTGTTAATTTGGTAAGTCTTTTTAAATCTTTTGATTTGTCTAATGTTTTCCTTGAGCCCACCCGAGTAACATCCACCTCGGCTACATGTATAGATAATATATTTTGTAACTGTAATTATTTACATAAGAATATAATAAATACCTTACCATCAGACCACAGTGGGTTAACAATAAACCTTAACAACATTACAAAGGTAAAAAAAAAAGGAAATAATATTTAGGCAAATCACAAATAAAAGGGTTGAGTTATTAAATAACAATTTGAAACATAAAATATGCAGCCCATCACATGATTATGAAGGTCCAAGTGAGATTTATGACAATCTACTGTCTGTGATTAAAACCCAGTTTGATAAAATATTCCCCTTAAGAAGAAAAACGATTGAGTGTAAATTTGTATTCTGTAACTGGGCTACCCCAGGTATTCGTAAAAGTAGGGAAAGGTTATTTGAGCTATATGGTATGAAACCATTTAATACTAGTGAAGCCTTCAGCAAGCATGTGTCCTAATATTCAAAAATATTTAAAATAGTCTGTAAGCAAGCTAAATCACTTTATATTGGCAATATTAAGAATTATTTATTATGTTTTCGGCTTACTCACGTAATAATTTGACGAGATACTCGACTAGTTTCAAGCCATGCTAGAGGCCCATATTCATGAGCAGCATTCCGCGACACGCGACTCGGCGACCGTCGCGCTGCTACTCGAGTATCTCGTCAAATTATTACGTGAGTAAGCCGAAAATATCCGTAGCCGGAGATGATTCTAAGTCTCTCGTAGTTTTAATGGGGATATTCTTGAAAAAATTTTCGAACTCTTGGGCAACTTCTTGATTTGTATCAACTCGTCCATTATCCGTATTTAAATTAAATTCCGTGTTATACAATTTATTTCTGCCTGTCTCGTTATTAATTACTTTCCACGTAGCTTTTGTTTTATTCTCAGCATTCTTAATATTATTTTTATTATAACTTTCGTGAGACATTCTAAATTATTTATTATGTTTTCGGCTTACTCACGTAATAATTTGACGAGGGCGTAGGGCGTACCACAGGGCTCGATTTTAGGTCCTTTCCTGTTTTTAGTGTACATAAATGATTTACCTCATTTATTTCAACGTGATTTGCTGATGACACATCGTTGATTTTTAAAATAAATAGACGGACAGATAATTATGACGACGTAAATAATGCTATTACGAATTTTCAGAATTGGTTTACAGTTAATAATTTAGTCCTAAACGACAAAAAGACAAAGTGTATGCGATTCA